TCGACTGCGGGGAGGGGGGGGGGGGGGGGCGGGTGGTGGGTTGCTGAACGCGGCGGTCGAGCAGCGCCCCCCGGCCTTCGAGTTCGCGTCCCGCAAGCCCTGACTCGAGCTCTGTCGCTCCTGCATAGCCAAGCTCTACTACGAGGCCAAGTGCCACGGCGACACGCAGCAAAGGCGACCTGGCCAGTCTTCATGGGACATCAGCCTAAAGACACTAGCGACGTCCCTCCAGTGGCGAAGAAAACTCCATCCTGTACATACAACAGGTGCAGCTACTAGCCAACCCTCGCAGGAAAAGCCAGACAGTATGCTTGCCCTTGGCGGAGGGCTCGTTTCGTCCACTTTTTGAGCACAAGAGAGCTCCGGTGAGGAATGTGATGTGCAAGGCGAGTGCAAGGCGACGTGACCTGTATCGGATAGGGATTTGTGGGTGACCGAGAGTCTTTCGACAGCGATATGGCGGCAACGGTCCATAAACCGTCCGCCGCGGCGACGTGGGGCGCAGCCCGGATGACGATCATGGGGTTGTTGGCAGTTTTGGTGATGTGCTTGTCGATTCGACCAACCGTTCCACAATGCTCTCCCTTTTTGTTGTAGTGTTTCCGCTAACGTGACTGATTTTGCGCACCTATTGACGATGATGGCTGAAGTTGGTGCTCCGCAGTTGCCTCGTCCATATCGTATCAGACTGTTACTCTCTATGAAGTATGCTTCGACAGGTCGTTCACTTGTTCGTCCGAGCTAGGTGGGGATCATACTGGGCTGCCCGAGGGGCGGGGGGTAGTCCTCATGTTCCCATGAATCGCCTCCACCCTCGGAAGCAACATCTTGCGCGTCGCCACCGCACCGGTTTTGGGTCCTTATCCAACCGTGCTGGTATCAGCGGCGGTGGTGATGTGCATCAGCTGCTCGTCCTCGGCCCTGCTCCAGGTGAAATTGACACTACACACACAAGATATGAAGCTATCTGTACTGCCAATGTGGCCAATTTTGAGTGCCGCATCGCGAGTGTTCGTAGACATGCAGTGTCGTCGGGACGCGGGGGTAGCAAAGATATAATGACTAGTTCTATACTGCAGTTCTATAGACAGCTCAGCACATGATGCCTTCTCAGCCTCACGTCTCCCGATTCAGTAATCCTCGCTGAACCAACCCTCGAACGACCACTTCGATGGCTTGTACGAGGAGACGCGCAACAGTGTCTCCTCCCTCCAACCGAGGGTCGTACGAACACACGGTCAATGAAGTAGGCATAACTCTGAAGGGAATTGTCTCCATGATCGCATACAGCTCATCCGCCATGATCCCTCCAGGAGAAGGCCACTCGTTTGCACGTCCAAGGGAGTCGTCCAGCACATCCGCGTCTAAGTGTATGTGACACGGCACCCGGCTGTCATGGCTTTCGGCGAGCAGCTTCTCAACTTCACCCCTGTAATCAACTCTGCTACTTGCATTTCCCCAAATGGTTCTCAAGTTGGACTTCTTCATATAATCTTTCTTACTGTCGGAAATATGTCGAACGCCAATGAACGATACCCGTTCTAAAGGAAGAGGCTGGTGTCCAGGCATCGTCTGAGATAAAGCTTGCCAACTTGTGCCGCACATCATAGACGCGGCCATGCCGTCCAAGTAGCCGCTCGTATGGATCTCTGGTGTATCCAAATCATCGTGAGCGTCGAACCAGAGAACAGAGAGGTCATTGGCCGGATTTGCATCGTTGAGGCCAGCGACGGCTGCCGCTGTTGCGTTACAATTTCCTGATAGGATGATGGGAAATGCGTTTTCCGAAGACGCGACGGACACTGCTCTGGAGATGCGACGCATGACCTCAAAAGTCTTGCCGATGTCGCCCTCGAATTCATCTACCGGAGCGATGTTGCTGAAGTTAACTGGGGCAAAGCGCTCGAGCTTCGATACAAGGCCATGTGCAAGAAGATGCCTAGGCCCCCCGCCCACACGAAGGTCTGGTATGCCCGCATGGTATGGTGCAACGATGAGACGGATCGACGTGAGCATTGTTTCCATGAATTACACGAATCTATATTATGTCAGCAGACAAACACTACCAGTCCATGGCAACGGAGAGATCCTCAACATACGCAGTTCCGGACAGTATCTAGATGATGGCAAAGGATGAAGCAAGGAGTTACTTTAGAGTCCGTCGTAAGGAACGTACAAAATGTTCTGGTTCTTCGATCGAAAGGCGAAGGGCGGGCTCTCCCAGGTCTGAGACATCTACCGTTTACATCTGCCGCTCTAACGTACTGCCAACAATGGTCGCCGATAACCAGTAGCGTCTATCCGTACTATATAGGATTCCCGACGTTCGGGGCTGCCGTGGATCTCGACCAATTAGCCCTAATCTGAAGCCTCCCTGGACCAGCGGAGGTGGGGCTTGAAGGTGCCGATAACAAATCGATGTAAAAAGTCCTGGTTACCAAGGCTCGAGAGATAAATCCCGATAAAGTAGCGTATTTTCGGGACTTTTCGGGTAAGCTACTAATACACTAACCCGTTATAGAAATACGCGGGACTATAGACTTAAGCGCGACTAGGGCGGGATAAGTACTAGCTATTAAGATATAAAAACTAAAACTAAAACTTAATCCGTTATAAATAGCAATTTTTAAGGTTTATAGTTTATAATAACCCTTTGGGGTCTAGCCCGCCTTATTAAGGGCTATCTTCGCCTTTATAAGCAAGCTAGTTTATTAAGGTTAATATTAAGTTTTTATTATATACTTAATAAAACTTTATAGCTAACTATAGCCGGCCGTAGCTATTATTAACTATTAATACTAACTAAGCTTAAAATACTAACGATTCTGTCGTAATATATTAATCGCCCTTTTAATAACTAAATATTATAACCTAATATATACTAGGGCCCGCCCCGCAGGCTTACGACAGCTATAGTATACTATATATATAAAAATACAGGAATATAAAATAACTCCTATAGAACGGATAAATTATAACATAAGTTACGTAATAATAAGAGATAAGAAGATCTATATACTAAGAATATAGACCCCGTTTTTTTAAAATATAGAGCTTATATATTTAAAATACGGGGCCTATTAAATAAATATATAAATAAAGGATATATTTAAGAACGAGACTTATATATAGTATAAACTTAAGCTAGGCTTAAAAATAGACTTTTTATAGCTTTTTTAATAATTAACTTAGTATTAAATTTAACAATTATTTTTAGCTATTTTTATTAAAAACCCCTTTTAATAAGATTATGATTAATTACTAAAGCTTTACCTATTTTATAACTTATAAATATAGTTTTAGGGAAGTTATTTATAATTATTATATTATTATTAGCTTTATAACCCTAACTTTTATTAATATACTTTATTATAACTAGCTAGTTATAATATTTTAATTATTCTTATTTAATAAGTTAACCTTACGAAGCTTACTTAATAATAAAAATAATAATATTTTTTAATAATACTCTACTTATTTCTTTTTTTTTAAAAAAGAAGTAGCTTAAGAACTTAGTTAATAAACTAGCTACTATTAATAATAATATACCTAACGTTACTTATAACTTTAATAGAGATACTATTATTAATTAAAATACTTATACTTAAATAAAACGAGCGGTTAGTAAGAGCGCTTAATATAATAAAAAGCTCGTTAAACTTTTTAATAATAGTATTACGTACCTAGCTTAGATTTAAAAAAAATAAAATAAAAGTATCGCCGTTATATAAAATATAATAAATAAAGCTATAATAACTCTAACCCTTAAAAAAAAAGAAGCTAATAACCTATTTTAAAAAGTTAGAACCCTTAGAGCTATTATTAATATTATTAAAATTTTAATTAATAATAAAGAAAATTTAAGCTTAACGTACCTACTACTTTTAATAATATTAACGGACGTTTTAAAAAGTTTTTAATTTAAATTAGAACTTATTAAACTTTTTATATTACTAACTTTTATAATAAAACCGAACGAGTTATTTACATAGTAACCTTTTTTAAAAAACGAGCTTTAAAATAGTTTAAACTTTTTTAAAAGAAGTTTCTCTATAATAATAATTACTTTAAGAACTACAAAAATAAAACTATTATAATTTTTATTAATATAATAGGATTTTAGAATGCTTTAGAATTACTTTTTTAAGACCTAGACGAGGTCTAATAAATTAAAAAAGACTTAAGGAATTTTAAGTAAACTAAATCTATTTTTTATTATATAGCTAAGTTTAGAAAACTTTTAACTAGGCTAAACGCTACGGAGTAAATACGAATCTCTAACTTTTATAAAAGATTAAAAGACGAAGTTAAGGACGAGATATTTAAACTTAACTTACTAAAAGAATTCCTAACTTATATCGAACTTATTATTAAAATAAACGCTAAACTTTACGAACGACGTAAAAAAAAGAACTAACGAACGTAAGCTAATATTAGTAAATAATACTAATTACGGTTCTTAAGATAAAAAGAAGCTCTACGAAATTATTATTAATAATATAAACTAACGTCCTATAGATAATATAATAGACTTATAGACCTTAATACTACTAACCGAGGACTACTTAAAAAGAACTTTAAGTACTATAACTATAATAAACTAAGATATATAATACGAGACTATTAATAACTTAAATAAATCTAAAATAAGTTTAAAACTATTAATATAGTAACTAGAACTATATTAAAAGTCGAACTAGGGGATAGTTATAAATTACTATTATAAACTAAATACTTTAATGACGATTACCTTATTTACTAAGATAGTAAAGAATAAGTAGGCTAGTACCCTAAAGAACTTAAATAACTCGCTATAATAAGAACTAACGCTAAGAAAACTAATATTAAAATTTTAGCTATAAATTAACGAATTCCTAACGCTATTGTTCTTCGTAAAATTAACGAATAACTTAATAAAACTATTTTTAATAAATATGTTATAATAAAACCGCTACTAAACGTATTACTAACTATAATAAAGAAGAAAATAGATTTTAAATTTAATAACTAAAGTAATACTAAGTCCGATATTAAGGAATTAGATAGAAACCTTATTTTAAAATAAAGAATTTAAAAATAAAGTATAAAATAGTTCGTAAGCTAAAAATCGCCCTATAACTCGGATAAACTTCGTAATATTACTTAACGACGTACTTAAATAGAGATTATTAATAAGTATACACTTAATATAAATAATACTAGTTTTAAAAAAAAAATAAAAAAAAATAAAGCAACCTAAATATAAGAAAATCTAGGAAATAAAAAACGACTAGTTCGTCCTATTTTATAGGACCGAGAACTTAAGAATAAATAAAGAAACGCTACTTACTTTAAAAAACAACGTTCTCTTAAAAAAAACTTACTAATTATACTATAAAACTTTCCAAGTAGAGTACCTAATTAACAACTATAAATATTACTATTATTAAAAAAAAATCGCTTTTACCCTAAAAGATTTTTTAATAAATTGATCAAAAAATCTATTTTAAATAAAACTTACCTTATTAATAATACGAGTCTCTAACGAGGACGGAATAGCTACTTTTATACTAGACCTAGATTACCCTATAAAATACTTAAATAATACTTAAAAAAACTAAGAAATATACTAAATAGATTAGTATAAAATCTATTTAATACCTAAAGCCCGCGAATAGCGACTTTAAAAAGAATAAGTATAAAAAGAATAACTAAGAACTAGCTCGTTCTAAGGAAACCTAAATAACCTTATTATAACCTTAAGTACCTACTTATATAATAAATATATTTTAAATACGTAATTTAATATTAAAGTATTATAAACTTATGAATTATTTTTTAAAGGGAGAAAACTTATTAAAAACGAAAAAGATAATATTTAAAATATAATTAATATACTATACTCCCCTACTAAAAAATAGAGACGTATTGACTTAAAAAATAATTACGAACGACTCGTTAAAAAAGAACGAGTACTAGCTCTTAAATAATTAAAAAACTAAAAACGCTAATCGAATAAGAACGATGAAAAGCGAAACTAAAAATAAAGTTCTTTATTATAGCTTATAAACTAAGCTTAAAATACTTTATAATAAATATTGGCGTTTAAAGATAACGAATACGCACTATAATTAATAATAGCGCACAAAGAGGATTTATATCTTTAAAAATTACTAAAAAATATAATATTTAATAACGAATAAAAAACGAACTATACTTACTCTGCAATTTTAAAAAAAAGCTATTTTAATATAATGGAGGATATATATTTTAAAAAACTGCGCACTTCTATATAAATATCTATAACTATTTAAAGAAAATTACTTATAATATAGTAAAAATAGGAAACGAATATAATATAATTTTAGGAATTATATAATTATAAAAGTATAATTTACGGATAAATTAGAAAATAGGCTACTTTTAATAAATAGATTTAGTTACTAAACGACCTTATAAAAAGGGTTTAAATAAATTTTATATAATACTTAAGATACTAAGAAACGTAATAAAATACCTAGCTTATATATTACGGTAGTGGGTATTAGGGCCCTATAGGCCCCGTAGCTTAGCCTTAGGCTACGAGGCTAAGCTCCTAGTAATTACGTAACGAGCTAGACCGCTAGGCTTAAAAAGCTAGTTTATTAGCTTCTATTTACTATTTTATTTTTTCTCTCTTTATATTAAGTTTTTAATTAATTAAGCTAATATAGTAGTGTTCTAACTTACCTCGAGTTTTTTTTTATAATATTACTTAACGTTACTTAATTAACTATTTTTTAAAAATAGAACAATAATATCTTAATTAATTAACTACTTACTATACTAACTAGCTACCCTTACTAAAAAAACGTATAAAAGAGCTAAGTAATAGCTAACTAAATTAATTATATATAAGTAGTATAATTAATACTTTTTAAATATATACCCCTTTTATTAAATACGATAGTTAGAGAATATAGCTAAGGTAGCTAGGTCTCCCTCTATATTAATAATTTTTAATAAAATTATTATTTTTATAAGTTTTAATAGAGCGT